TATATTCCCTAGTGTCGGAAGGCACTCACATAATTATGGAAGAAACTCATCTATAAGTTTTTAAACTACCCTAAGCGACTTAAGACAATAGATGTATCTATTAGAGGTCCTGGATACTAGCTTTCTAGACAATGAATCAATTGGTTGATTTCTGGCATTTCCACCAATACCGCATGAAATAGAATGGTCCAAAACACAGCGTTTTGCAGACTATGAGAGCAATATTTGTGAATGTATGAAAATAAACAACATCCTAAATAGGAGAAACGATGGTAGAATATTAAGAGGCAAATATTCTATTAAATTTAAGGTCATAAAAGATTATTAGTCCATTAACGAAGTAGGATGAATAAAGCTCTTATATAAAAATTAATCGTACTCTCGAAACCTAGTTGTAACTTATGAGAGACACAAGGCGGATACACGACTAATGGCTAAGCAAGATGAGGCTGCACTAGCCCCACGTTTGGTTAGGATTATCCCACCTCTTGTGACTTTGGAATAAAATATGTACAATATGCAACACCACATGTCTAAGCCTGAATCGAAATTGCAGGATCAACTGCCGATCTATTAAAGCAGATAAATACCTGCTGCCACATTCCCTTAACTTTCATTCACTAACCTCCTTCATCATTCAGAATGCAGGGAAATTACAAAATAGACACTTAATTAATAGGATCACCAATTTAAATATAAGGAGTGAGTATGATTACAGCCAGCCACACTTTTCTTGGTCTATTGTATTTGGTGATTATTTTCACACAACAATGCTGCTTGCTTTAATGATGGCGGTCAAATGGCAGACTAAAGGTTACTAAGTGTTCATTGAGGTCGCAGGACGGTGAGCCAAGGGCTTCTTTACACAGTCTAAGGACATTTTCCTGTTGTTTATGATGATATTAATTGACGAACCCCTTCCGACAAACTTTTTCCTTGAATTGAAAGGCACAATTACACTGTTTGTGCAAGATGGACAGAGAGAAAGTGTCGGAATGAAAATGTTTTCCTTAGTTGACCTAGAAGCAGATTCATGAAAAATACTCTTTTATTCAAATTTGGCCAATGCTATGATAGGATGACTTTGATCAAATCTTTTAACTATTTATCTTTTCGGCAAGACAGATTTGCAGAGGACTGCGGAACTCCCAATGAAAACTGAGCAAGGCTCTATTGCACTTACCCATGAGTAATAGTCAAACGATTTCCTTCGTAATTGATAAAACATTTCATAGTAGTAACATTTAGTGCATCAGATGTCATGTTTACCAGATTTTGATTAAAAATGAAACAGCATTTTCACATTTGAAACTTTTGGCCTTTTGCTTGAATATAAATGTAAATATAATGTAAATATTACTATAAATAGGATATTTTTATAAATACATATCACTGCTGTACCGATTACATTTGTCTCCCTCTCTTCGGACTAGGGTTATTCAGTGAATCTATTTCGTCCTTCCATTTAGACAGTTCTTGTGTTTTATAAGAAGCGATAAGATACAATCGCATATTTATACGTGTCTGGACCTGTGAGAAAATTTCATAAAATAATGTTGTTACCTTGTGCTGTTTGCAAAGTGTGCACCTAAAGGCTAAGCTAGAGACTGTTGTCAGGATTCAAGGCGAAACAGAGAAAAGAAAAGATGATATTGGTGGTAGAATAATAAAATTTTATGTTTTAGTGGCACATTCTTGCGTATGAAGACGATGCTTCAGCATTTTTAGCTTTTTAGCTTATTGTCAAATATGTTTCTTAGACTAAAAGGACGAGTCCTAGCATTTTCACGAACAAAAACATATATAATGATTCGAGCAAATTTGTTTAATTTCTTATAGTGAAGTCATCATTGAACTATGATATCTATGAGTTAGGCTGAAAATATGGGTGTAATTTGCAACATAGCTTATGTCCTGTTTCCTCAGAAGTTTCGCTATTAAGGTCTGCCATGAGATAAAGAAAATGTGATGTTGCAATCTTGGCTACTCCGATATTTTAGCCGGGTCTTATAGACGTTTACGATGCGATCAGGATTTAAAAAATATTCGAACTATAAGGCTCTGTGATTTGTTGCTCTTAATGGCTTCCTCAATAATCATAGCGATTTCGCCTTTTGTACTCCATTAACATTTCATATAATGTTCGCACTTTCCAATCCCTTCCGGCAGGAAAAGATAAATTTTAGTTATAAACTAGGTATGAGACCTCGATATATCAATTCTACCTACACCATTACTTCCTTACATCCTGCTTTAAATGGTGATAGGGACGATATCTAAGATCATAAATTATGTAACGCAAAGAACAGCCATTCGTAAAATTCCCAAATATAGATATTTGTGCCGTTTGCATGAAGATAATGTAAATCCCCTTTCCCCTCTCAGATGATATACGTTTTAAATAAAATACGTTAAGAATAAAAAATTCCAGAACTGGCGTAACTCTAAAGAGTAACTAGTCGGAGCAAAACAGTTTTATTTTAATAAAAATTAATTTAAAAGAAAAAAATATTGGATAAATCTTAAACAATGTATTGAAGTTGTTTGATCTTGTTTCGCAGCTTGGTCATATTGGCAGGGAGACCTATAAGAACGCATATTGTCCGGAGTTCATAGTATGCAGGATAATTTGCAGATTCGGACCATGAACTTGGTACATTTCCAAACGCTTCGCTGGCATCGTCAGGGAGCTTTGTCCGTCTTATCTCCACATCACAACTCGTCAAATATACAAGTGAAGTCAATCCTTTGACCAATTGTGTGCTAAACTGTTGTGGTGTATCTCTTTCTATCCTAGGCTATTCACCTAACCTATATCCTCGTATCACCCCTTCAATATCACAATTTCTAACTTATGTATCTAAACCTATTCTAAATCTATCCACATAAAATGCAGGCTCTCTTACCCCCTCCCCTCCCACTGTGCTGCGAGTGTTGAGTCAAGACCGTAGTTTAGTCCACACTCTTCTTCCTCCCGGTACTATCAGAGTCACCCTCTTGCTCCGGAGGATCCATCGCATATCTGCCTGTTTCAGTGATTTCACCCCATCGCTGCCATCATATTCGTGCTATTCAAGGCTTTATGTTCTACACTGCCTCAAGACTTCTTTCCCTAATGCCAAGTCTGTGGCTTTCTTATGCACAAGTCTCTTGCGTGCCGACTCCCAATGCACCAAGTCCACGGTCCGACTCTAGAAATTATCATGCATACTATAGATTCCGGAAGATGTTAGTTCCTCTCGGTCTTTTTGCAAATATGACCAAGTTGCACAAACAAGGTCAAACAACTTCTTTACAACGAAAGAAGACAGCGGCCATACAAAAGACCACACGATTCTTTTTCTCATACCTTTGATTAAACAATATATTGTCTTTGTCCAAGATTCCAAGAAGAAATGAAGGCTTAAGTATCTGTGTTTAAGTTGTTCTGCAAATTGCCTGGATCGGATGAAGGATCTGATGCTGAAGAGAAGCCATTGAGCTCAGCTAGTCAGTTCCAAATACCTCAACCCTCTAAACTGCTCGTGTCATTTCATCTTTACATCCCCGGTAGTTATTCATGTAGGTGTAAAAACAGCTCAAAATAGGTCAATCTATACCTCTTTTCTTAAAATAATTAGCCACAAAAACGGCTTTATGAGTTTATTTTGACTTACTTAGAAAATATATTAGAGCTATGGTTAAAAATTTTGTTTTTTTGTTGGTATACCCCTTATTTACTTTGAGGGGGCGAATAGAAGGGATTCGATAATCGGCCCCGATGTAGGCAAAGGAACTATTGCCTTGGAAATTTGACTGTATAATTGTGCAAATAAGTTTTTGAAGCCGTTTGCCAATGCGGAAAATAAAAGCCATAAAAATTATCAGAATTAAGGCATGTAATTAGAGAGAAGGATAGATTTCCCTTTCCATAGGTCTCAGCTAGTAATGAGGGGACAAAATTGAGTAAGGATGTGTTTAGGGAGCCCACAAATACAGGTTTCGTTTTAAACTTCTTTCAAACTCATACTTATTGGTTCAAAGTAGGAGTAAGTTTAAGGAGCCTGTGTCTTGTAGGTGTCAATCACAATGACCAGGAATCGAGGCGATTAGATAAAATTCTAATTCAGATCAATCAGCCATCAGGATTAATAAAGAATTCCTCAAAAATATCAGTGGATGAACCACTCTACTAGGATTCTGATTATACCATCGTATAGGTTCTCGAAAAAGGCACAAGAACACTTTTCTCAGTAATGCCACCCTTTAAAGAATTTTCGTAGCCTCTCTTCAAATCGGACTGCTGCAATGTTTCGTGTTTATATTAAGAGACCTGCATATCCATACACAAAGTGGTTCTCTGAACCTAAAACAGCATGCAAAGGTTAGCGCGTCCAAAAATCAGAATTGGTTGAAAACATGATACGACCAGGACACTGGATAGACTGGTCTAAAGCCAGAGACGTTAAAGTAAGAGGAAGATTAGAAGACTATATGAACCAAGAAAACTCAAATCTGTTACATATTCTCACGCCTCACACGACTCATGAGCTTTGAATGCGAAGAACACACATGCAACTGCATGCGTTAACATTACAATATCCCGATTACAAGTGATTTTGGAAAGATGCAGCCGTTCGGTCTCAGATTATGTTAGAATTTTTCCACAGTGATAGGAGCAGCTCTAATGAGGTATTTAGTGGCAACATACGATCACTGCACGAGTTTAATTCCTGTTGCGTTGGCAAATACGTAACTGAAGTTCAGCCTGGAAAATAATTCCAGTTCGGAGGCAAGGCAATGTGAAATTCAATGAAGACGTGAGGCTTACTCATAATGTTGTTAGAAAATATCGCCATCATTTCTTTATCACCTTAAGCGACCTAAATTGAATACAGAAGATCTTCATTAAGATCAACCAATAGTTTCGAAACCTACTCAATACGAATACTGGTGTATCCATCGTCTAGGGAAAACATATAATATGACATCCGTCCCTCTAGGTCGCATAGGTTGATGAAAGACTGGTAGTTGAATTTGATCCCACAATAAAATGAGCAGGCCTCAGATTTCAGTTGAATTTCACATCGCCTTTCTTCAAAATTGTATTCTTATCCAGGGTGGACTGCAGTTTAGACCTCGCATGGGTCGTATCAGCACCTCCAGTGGGAATACAACACACAGTATACTTCATATAATCTCGAAACTTTAATACAAATTCTTAGGGGGGACGTGAACTTCATAGAATATCAGGCATCTCACGTATCCCATTTTACTGGGATTGTGGTGAAGGAAAGCGTGTATTTTGATTTACAATTTAATACACTACTTATATTCATATTAAGTAGGTTTCAAAATAATAAGTTAAGATTTAAGTATAGTTTCCAAACTCACTTTATATGAATAAGAGCGTAGAATAGCCGAACACATTATGAGATGTCTCATTAAATTCTTGGCGAATTATCGTGTGGTGTCCTGCCCTAATGATGTCTGTCACGATGAGGTAGACGACAAGAATTCATCATGTAGCGACGATGACTTATTTGCATAGATTTAAAGCACAGCCATACGGCAATCTTTGCCCTTGGCTTCTGGTGAGGCCCTTTTAAACGAAATGAAAGCTACTCCAGCATCGGTTTATTACGGGTTTTTCCAAAACCCCATTTTTGTCATGTACCACTTTCTGTGGAATTTTAGTAGGACATCAGAATAGTCTGAATGTTTTCTGTTTCTCACTTCTGTTCACTTTGTTTAACAGGTGAAAAATTTGATACTGAGCGAAAGCCATCGGGCTCAGCTAGCCAGTTCCACAAACCTTGATTCTCTCGACACCTTCGAGAGGGTACAGTTGCCCAGTGACTCAGTCACTCCAGGCATCAAGTCTGCACAGGCGGCTGCCTGTCTCAAAAGCCCTCTTTTCCTCGTCTCAGCCGAGTCCTGTCCTTCTGTTTTATGTCAACAAAGAATCAAACAGCCTCTGCACAGCTCCTCGATGGTGATCAACAGTTCCACTGTTACTCCTCTTCAGATGTGCCCAAACGCTACAGCGTCGGCGGTCGGTACCAGGTTCAACCAACCCAATCTGACCACTCGTGGTGAAAAAACCCAAGACGCTCCGCCATTGCAGCCTGCTTTGGTCGTCAAAACGAACGGCTTTGATGAAAACCCGGACGGCGAAAGACAAGCCGAAAATGCGGTTCCTTATAATGTTTGTAATCTTGAAATTCAGGGTGAGTCCAGACTGGATACTAGCGCTACCAATCATGATAGAGCTTCCCAGTCCACAGGTCACATTCCCAACCGTTCACGCAGGAACCTTCACAGGGTAAAGGCCCATCCAGGCACAGGAGGATCGATGAACGATGTCACCGAAAGGCTGTCTCCGAAACGGTTAAAGCAGAGGCGAAGGCATCCGCATCTTCGAGCAAACCCTCTCTATCACTTCCACCCACAAACTCGTAGACCCCCCTCGAGCTCGTCCAGTTGTGGCACAGACTCGCGTCAATTGGACCTCGTGGTACCAAGACTGAGCCCAAAGGGGGAGAAGGGAGCTGTTGGGGCGAGGTCAAATTCGAATAGCCGATCGGACGCCACGAGTCCCATAAACTCTGCCGATCCATGCGATACGGCCAAGACGGTAGACGAAGATACTGTGAGTTAAGGCTACGGGATGCTGGATAACATTCACCATCTACTCATCAAATATAAACGAAAACAGTATTCCGAAGTCAAATGGTTTAATCTCCATTTCGCAACTTGGTTGTGTCGTCAAGATGACCCAGATGATCACAACTTTTCCGGAGTCTTCTTTCAGAGAAGTTATGACAACTAAAAGAGTATGAGTATTGATTTATTGTTTCGGAGGGGCCATTGTTGATGAGTAATCTATACTACTAATAGTGTATTCAGCTTAGGTATAATGATACTGGCCTGAGTCGAATTTTCCCATAGTGAAATTATTAGACCTTACGATTTAAGCGAATTTCATTTGGCCTTGACTCCCAAAAAGGTTTTCCAACACAGAGTGGACTTACGTTTTGACATTACCCTAATCCTCATCTGCACCACTAGTGGGATTCATAGCTGATCTTTCCAAGTCGACTGGCGATAATTTGCCAATACGTACGGTATAAAACGTAAAGAATGCAACTTTTGAGGCAAACCAGACCTGTGTTTGACATCATATTCAAGTACATTAAATGTATTCAAAATAAGGAAGCTCCTATACCATCAGAAGATACTGAAAATGAAGTATAGAAGCATAATCATTACGAATCAAAGTAAAGTATCTGAATGCTTTAAAAAATTCAAGTTTCAAGAAGCTTTAGTTTGCATAACATGAAGAAGGACTGATAGTCGAATTTTCTAACAATTATATGAGTATGCCACACGTTTCACATGAATTTCACATTCTTGCTTCCCAAAAGGTAATCTCTCAGAAGGGGGACTGTGCTCTGGGCCTCGAATAGGTTTCATCAACACCCCTAGTTGAATTTGAAGCTGGGATGAGATAAACTTTTGGCAAGAAAGCTTTGCGAAATTCATTTGAAACATAATGCCTAATCATTCAGTCATCAACTTATGCGACATATGGTGACTATACTTCTTATTTAGGATTTAATGATTGTTTTGAAAACCAATTTTATTTGAATGTAAATACAATTTTGCACGGAATAGACATGGATTGCCTCTAAAGTCGCATATGCTCTATGCTTATAGGCACCGGTAGCTGCGTATCGTATCAGTAACATGTAGCCATTTGGTACGTAAGATCCGTTTTAAATAACATTCGGGGTGCCGATTAGAGACCCAAATAAAATCGAGCCTTCAGTTCATCCTGGATAAAATGGATACTAGTTAGACTTCGGCGGCATCGCAAGAACGCTTCATTTCATTGCTGGACACTCTAACGGATAGTCTTTGAAGTTATGCAGCCTAGGTTTAATCCATTTTTTATTCAAGCTCCATGGTTATGCTTCAATACATTCATTATGATTATAATCTGTACTATGCA